GCAGAAGAGAGGCAAAAGGACTATAACAGCCAGAGGATCAGGGAGTTTTCTATGAGATTGTGTCTCCTAGTAATGTCAAATGCTACACTAATAAAGACTAATATGAATGACTAAACATGAGCTGAACAAAGATAACAACAACAGACATGCCGAAGGAGAAAAGATCATGAGGAATCAACGCTAGACAAACCACCACAGGCAACTACAGAATCTGAGAACAGGCGAAACTGTCTTCACTCAAGATGAGCTTTCCTAATACCAATGGTCAGTCCTGAAAACAAACATACACGTAACATCATATGAACTGAGCAGGCTGTATTTATGTATTTAGAAACACACACATACATACTGAGGTGGTTTGAATGAGAAGGGCCACCAGCCTCATATATAATTGGATAAGAAGCTTATATGGAATATGCTGTGACCCCAATTGTTGTACAACATAAAGTAGATGCTCAAGGCTGGCAGTGAATAATCAGGCTGTGTTGAAAGCCTGTGTAGGTTAGCTGTGCTAAGAAAGTAATTTGCTCTGGGGATGTATCACGCAGGGCAGCTGCTCAGGAACTTTCAGTGGTGGGAAAAGTGGTGCTTCTGTGGGTGGCCCTGAATAAATGTTTTGAACAGGTTAAGATGATTTGGTTCCCAGGACCAAATCACACTTTTAGAAACACCCTTTGGCTGCTGCTGACTTGAAAGAGCTTCAGACCCTTACAGAATACAACCTCGGTGAATATTCTCCTGTGGTGCTTCCATATTAAGTTGTGAAAATCAAGGCTGCTGCTGAATATTGGCTTGGAAATAAGAATCATTCAAATACATCTGTCTTTGTGGCACTGTAGAACCTGGAGTCATACATTCGTGATGTACCACTGGATAAGGCTTTGATACTGACTGTACTTTTTGCAATGACTGGTAGGTCCCCCAAAGCCTCCCAATGGAATAAGAAGGGAAACAAGCTTTGCCAGCAGTATTCTGTGTACTGCTCACATTTTGGGCAGAAGAATGATTTAACAAAGTTTGAAGATAATTAATTGGAAAGAAACAAGAAGTCTGGCAAATGGTGGCTTGACAAATGCGTTATTCCCAAACTCAAGTTGAAGACCAAATGTTTGATGCTGCAAAGTTATTCATGAAACAGGCAATATTTGAGAACTTAACTGTAGAATGGATTGGTTGTGAAACTCCAATAACTAACAAGTCTAAAGTCATGGGTTGGGCTGAAGTTTGACCACTGGCTCTAAGGACCAGCTGTAGTTCTTGGTGTTAGTGTAAGGAAATATGAATTCAAATTGTACATTCAGATAATCGGTCCATTTTAATGGGACTGTTCAAATCAGACTCAAGAAATAATGCTATAGCTGGGTGGTGGTTGTGCACGCCTTTAATCCCAGCACTCGTGAGGCAGAGGCAGGCGGATCTCTGGGAGTTCGAGACCAGCCTGGTCTACAGAGCTAGTTCTAGGACAGGAACCAAAGCTACAGAGAAACCTTGTCTCGAAAAAACAAAAAGAAAAAAAAGAAATAATTCTATATGCTAAATTTTCACCAAGTAATCTATAAACATTAGGTACAAGCATTAAGTACTAATTCTATAAAACTCCTTACACCATGAGTAAATGCTAGTTGAGTAAATGAAAGCGCTAGGAACAATCCTAGCAATATATTATTCATGACTTTTCATTTATTGCACTTATCACATAACAACTTGTCACATTCAAACCCTGGTAAAGACAGAATAACTGATTCTGATACTTTCACAAACTGGGCATGTGCTCCAAGACAAAATACAAAGGTTTTCAAAATAATAAATAAAATAAACATAAGTATTCTCTCAAAAATAAAGGATTAAGTTGACAGAAATAAATACAGGCTGGTTGTAATCATTCCTAGAGTTTGACCATTTGCTCATAAAAAGACCCAAATGGTTACTGTGGTGGTTTAAATGAGAATAGCTCCCACTGGATCATATATCTGAATGTTTGGTGCCTTGTTGGTAAACTGTTTAAGAAGGATTAGGAGGTGTGATCTTGTTGAGGAAGGTGTGACACTGGGGGTGGGTTCTGGGGTTTGATAAGCCAATACTGGGTCCAGTCTTGCTCTCTCTCTTTCTGCCTCCTGCCTGCAGACCATAATGTGAAATTCTCAGCTACTGCTACAGCACCATGACTGCCTGCAGCCACATGTTCCACAATGACAATAATGAAAAAACACCCTGAAACTATAATTAAGACCCAGTTAAATGCTTTCTCTTATAAGTTGCCTTGGTGATGATGTCTCTTTACAGCAATAGAACAGTGACTAAGACAGTTGCTTAGGTGTGTTTTATGTAGTAAATGATATAGATAAGCTACAGTAAATGATATAGATAAGCTACAAAAATAGTAAGCACACAATATGCATTTGTGTCTTAATAATTTTTCTAATACATATTTTATATATGTGTGTGTATCACTGTGTATTTATAACCATGGAGGCCAGAAGAGGACATTTAATCCCATGGAGATGGAGTTACAGCCAGTTGTGATCTACCTTACATGGGTGCTAGGAATGAAACTCAGGTCTCTTCTAGAAGAGCAAGGCCTGCTCTTCACACTAAGCCATCTGTCCAGTCCCTGTATAATTTATATGTGTATACACTAAAACGACAAATCTAGAGACTACAGTCTCAAACATAAACAGTGATCTCTTGCTGGAAGGATAGCAGGTTAACAGGTGACTTTTGCTTTCTTCTTTATAATTTTATGAATAGGGTCTTGCTATGTAGTTCAGACTGGCCTAGAGTTGCTATGCGGCCCAGGTTTGAGCTGAAGTTTTGATACTCCCTCCCTGGCCTCCCAAGTGCTGAGATTCCATATTCCACTTGAGTATCAATTGTAAATATGTGAATAAAACTTCCAAAAAATTTAATACATTTTAAACACATACCTATATTTATGCACTTAAAGTTAAGCATATGTTAAGCATACAGGATATGCTTAGAAATTAATTAAACCACAATGTGAGCTCAATTGCAGATATGCACTCTATCACTTAAAAATACTAACTATATCTACAGACCAAATTTATGCACAGCATATTTTTAAATGCTTCTGTCATTTTTCAAGTGTACAACTACTTTCTCCTACAAGATTATGAGTTCTCTGAAGGTAAGAATAACATCTTACCTTACTCTTTACCTTTTTAGAAAGTACGAGTCATTAAAAGTCTATTGATAGATCCAGACAGTGGTGGCGCACATCTTTAATCCCAGCACTTGGGAGTCATAGGCAGGTGGACCTCTGTGAGTTCAAAGCCAACCTAGTCTACATAATGAGTTCCAGGACAGCCATGGCTACATAGAGAAACCCTGTCTCGAAAAATAACAACAAAGTCTATTGATAAACTGGAATTACCTATGGGCCAATTTCTCAAAAGAAACCAATGTTCAACATGCTAACTAGAGAATACCCAAGGGGAGCCTAGGCAGTTTGGATGCTCACCTTACTAGACCTGGATGGAGGTGGGTGGTCCTTGGACTTCCCACAGGGCAGGGAACCCTGATTTCTCTTTGGGCTGATGAGGGAGGGGGAGGGAAATGGGAGGCGGGGGTGGGGAGGAGGCAGAAATCTTTAATAAATAATTAATAATAATAATAAAAACAAAAAACAAAAAATAAAAACAAAAAAAAGAGAATACCCATGGGCTTAGAGCATCTTACTCCTAGAGAGGGAAAGTAAATGTATGGAGTGGAGAAGGGAGCAAAGAAAAATGGATGATGACAGAAAAAAGTCCAACTATATGCAGAGTTCATGACATGGGCAACCAGATTATTGTGTATACATGAATTCATGCAAAGCTTGTTTACTTTTTGTCAGAAATGAGTAATACTGGCTTTGTATGTTTGAAACTCAAAATTTCTTCTAGAGAACAAAAATTTAACAACAAACCAAGAATATAGATGAATATGTTAAAAATTAGGAAACACAGTTAACGCTTTGATTAACTGAAATGGATATCTCTCCATCATCTAACCAATTGAGAAAATTTTAATAGAAAGAAAAGACTGGCTAACCAAAAAATTAAATAAATAAATAGATAGATAGATGATAGATAAATGAATAGATAGATAGATAGATAGATAGACAAGAGTTCCAAGGAAACCTCTGGTTTCACTAAGTTCTCTATTCTTTTCCAGTTATAGATCTAGTATTTCTAGATTTTTCTTGCACAATATTAAGTACATCCTCAAGAGAAATGTATTGGGTATGAGGACGTATGCATAAGTTTCAGTGGCCTTTACCTAATCTGTGGTTAACTGATGAAAAAGAATTCATACCTACCTGAAACTATAGACAATATGAAACATGTTTAAATTAATAAATAGCCTCTAATTTATGAGATATGGAGGCTGGAGAGTTGGCTCAGCAGTTAGAAATACTAAATGTTCTTAAAGAGGAATGGGTTCAACTCCTACGACTCACATAATAGCTCACACTGTCTTTACTTATTGTTTTTTTTTAATATTTTAATTATTTTTTTAAGATTTATTTATTTATTGTGTTCTGTCTGTCTGTATGCTTGCTGGCCAGAAGAGGGCATTAGATGGCTGTGAGCCACCATGTGGTTGCTGGGAATTGAACTCAGGACCTCTGGAAGAACAGTCAGTGCTCTTAACCTCTGAGCCATCTTTCCAGCCCTTGTCTTTACTTATTGTTTCAGATCTGACACCTTCTTCTGGCCTACAAGTACCAGGAAAACACATGATACACATATTTACATGTAAGGAGAACACAAATAAAGCTAAATTAAAATTTTACATCTTAAATTAAAAATATTTTTTAAAATGTGTCTCACTTGCTAGGTGGAAGTGGCATACACTTTTAATCCCATCACTCAGGAGGTTTAGGCAGGTAAATCTTTGAGGTTGAGGCCAGCCTGGTCTACAATATGAGTTCCAGGACAGACAGGGCTGTGCATTAAAATCCTGTCTCAAAAAACAAACAAACAAAAAATGCATCTTACCTTTATCTGTGAGACCTTCTGGATAGTTAATGGAGAAATTTGAGACTGTGAAACAACTGCATGTCCAACGGCATATATGGGCATAACAGAAGACTGACCTTGTACCACAGGCAAAACTGGGGACTCAGTCAGCTTTGGCTGCTCTTGCAACTGGTAAATAGAAGAAAATAGATAAACTCTCCAATATGTAAAATAGAGTAGTAATTCCCTCATCCCTGAAATTTGCTGGTAATGTCCTACTAGTTGGTGAGAAGAATAGATTTGCCCTTGAAAACTATGTCAGTCTGTAGGATACTAGACACTACCTGAGAGTTAGTTATCTGGTTTGAAGAATAGGCTACATTGGGAAGACTTGAAGTATCTGAATGTAGAACTGGTCCAGCTGCTGCCTCAGATGAAGTATCACCTATAACAAAAAAAATAAACAAAAGGTAGAAGGGAAGACATGACACACAATGTTCAAATGATATAATGTTCCTTTAATATATTTTCTACTATGACAATCATCGTTTCAAATAAAATACACAAACTTAATAATTAGTACTTTTTAAACAACTAATATCAGCATCTGAGAGATAAAAGCAAAAAGTTCATGAGGCCAGCCTTTGTTTCAAGTTAAGTTCAAAGACAATGTGGCCTACATAGCAAGGCCTATCACAAAATCAAACAAATAGTCAACAGGTAAAACTCTATGGGTTAAAAAATGTTGACACTGTGGTATAAGCGATAGTTTCTTTTTCTTAGATCATGTCCAAAACAAACAAACAAAGAAGATGACAAAGATTACAAGAAGAAAAATCAATTAACCCCATTTACCAGTCATTTTATATGTATTTTTTTTGTATACTTGCTGTTATGATTTCAGTAACATATGTGTCATGTTGCAAATCTCCTAGAAATGGATAGGAAAATGTGTAGGAAAAAAGTACTTCCTTTGTAGAAAAATTGGCTGTAACTATGCAAATACTGTTTTTCCTTTTCTATTTTTATTCATTTATATTTTATTTAATTAATTAATTGGTTGTTGCTGTTACTGTTTTAACATGTTCTCACTATATAGCTCTAGTTGGTCTGGGGCTTACTTTGTAGACCAGGCTGGCCTCTAACTCACTGATATTTGCCTACCTCTGCCTCCAGAGCACTGAGGTTAAAGGCCTAAGCCACCACATCCCCTACTGTGTGTGTTTTTAAAAAAGATGATATATTATTGCAAAAAAACTAGAGGACTTATGTTTTCATTCCAGTCTGAAATACTAAGGCACTTAACACCTAGAAAACTTCTTTTTAAGAAATAAACTGTAGCCGGGCGGTGGTGGCGCACGCCTTTAATCCCAGCACTCGGGAGGCAGAGGCAGGCAGATCTCTGTGAGTTCAAGAGCAGTCTGGTCTACAAGAGCTAGTTCCAGGAGAGGCTCCAAAACCACAGAGAAACCCTGTCTTGAAAAAAACCAAAAAAAAAGAAAAGAAAAGAAAAGAAATTAACTGTAGAGCTGGGCAGTGGTGGTGCACACCTTTAATTCCAGCACTGAGGAGGCAGAAGCAGGCAGATCTCTGAGTTCAAGAACAGACTAGTCTACAGAGTGTGTTCAAGGGTAGGCTCCATAGTTACTGAGAAACCCTGTCTTGAAAAACAAAAACCAAAGAGACAGAGAGAGAGAGAGAGAGAGAGAGAGAGAGAGAAAGAGAGAGAGAGAGAGAGAGAGGGAGAGAAATCATGGGCTTATGCTAGATTATTACAAATGTTGTTATTAATATCATTTCTCTGAGCTGGAAAAGCTGCTGTACTGTATGTAATCTTTCTGTGACTAGAACATTGGAAAGACACTTAAAGACTTTCTTAGATTTATTTTGGGATGACTATTATGTATTCCAGTCTGGCCTTAAACTAGATGAGGATGACCTGCCTCTACTTTCCAAATGCTAGGATAACTGGTAAATACCACCATGCCCAGGGCTTCCTGCATGCTAGGCAGCTCTCCCAACTGAAACAAATTCCTAAACCAGCTTTCGTTGATTTTGAGATAAGGAAATCACCTTGTCTATTTCAAAGGTTTTAAAAGCATGATTAATAAAATTACAGATAACAGAATACTCTGAAAAATACAAAAAACAAAGAAGTATAACTAGTCAATTCCTGGACTTTACAGTTGTCTTACCTCTTACAGAAGAGCACTGCTGCTGTGGTTTTCCCTGTAGATTTTGCTGTCGAACATGCTGATCAACTTCTGTTTCTTCACATTCAGCCACAGTCTGTGTAGCAGGAGCAGGTGGTAGAGTTGTGGTCTGCTGCTGAGGAAATACATTCCCCACATACTTGCACTGGGAATCCCTGCATTCCTCCAAGCATCCAGCAGGCTTCTTTTCCCTTATCTTTTTTATCAGAGTCACGCGGTCCCTAATGGATTTAGCAACAGCTTTAGAATCACTTTCATGGAAGAATCCAGACTTGACCTACAAAAAAACATAACAAACTGTTTCTTTACTTAAATCAATATTTTGTATAACAAACTCAAAGTTCTATTAACTAATAATTAATAGCTTGTCTCTGTATTTTTCTAAATTGGACATATGTACATGTGAGAGACTTTAACTGATAGAATAACACTTCAAATGGTACCCAACTTCATATGGAAAAGCAAAAAGCCCAGCATAACCAAAACAATCCTGTACAATAAAAGAACTTCTGGAGGCATCACAATCCCTGACTTCAAACTCTATTACAGAGCTACAGTACTGAAAACAGCCTGGCATTGGCTTAAGAACAGACAGGAGGACCAATGGAACTGAATAGAAGACCCGGATATCAATCCACACACCTTTGAACACCTGGTTTTTGACAAGGAAGCAAAAAATATCAAATGGAAAAAAGAAAGCATATTTAACAAGTGTTGCTGGCATAACTGGATATCAACATGTAGAATAATGATAACAGATCCATATCTATCAACATGCACAAAATTCAAGTCCAAATGGATCAAAGACCACAACATAAAGCCACTGAAACTTAAGAAGAGAAAGTGGGAAGTACACTTGGACACATTGGCACAGGAGATCACTTCCTAAATATAACCCCAGCAGCACAGACACTGAGAGAAACAATCAATAAATGGGACCTCCTGAAACTGAAAGGCTTCTGTAAAGCAAAGGACATGGTCCACAAGTTCTGCCCTATCAAAGGCCAAGGCAGTTTCTTTATTCAACCAATGAAAGCAACACATAGGACCTCCTACACCAGTTTGTCATAGCCAGAGCCTAGAAACAACCTAAGAATGGATAAGGAAAATGTGGTACATTTACACAATGGAGTACTACACTGACGAAAAAAATAATGACATCTTGAATTTTGCAGAAAAATGAATGGAGCTAGAAAACATTATTTTGAGTGAGGTAACCAAGACACAGAAAGACAATTATCACATGTACTCACTCATAGGTGGGTTTTAAACATAAAGCAAAGAAAACCAGCCTACAAACCATAATCTCAGAGAACTTAGACAATAACAAGGACACTAAGAGAGACTCACATAGATCTAATCTACATGGGAAGTACAAAGTAGAAAAAGACAAAATCTCCTGAGTAAATTGGGAGCATGGGGACTTTGGGGGAGGATTGAAAGGGGAAGGGAAAGGGCAGGGAGGGCAGCAGAGAAAAATGTAGAGCTCAATAAAAATAAAAAAAATTATTATCACAAAAAAAGAATAACACTTCAGGGACTAAGGCAAAGGATCTTTGTAACTGGATCTCGTGATACCAGTTACAAAGCCTATCTCAAAATCCAGTAAAAGCATGCTGAGTATTGACAACAGAGAAAAATAGCTAACTAAAACAGTCTTATACCTATATGAGCACATTACCTGATGATATAAGATAGAAATAAGCTTAGGACAATGGCAGGGGGTTTTGATCCTACTTAATGTGCTGGCTTTGTGGGAGCATAGCCAGTTTGGATGTTCACCTTCCTAGATATGGACGGAGGGGGGAGGACCTAGGACTTACCACAGGGCAGGGAACCCGGACTGCTCTGTGGACTGGAGAGGGAGGGGGAGAGGAGTGGGGGGAGGGAGAGAGGAGTGGGAGGAGGGGGAGAAGGGTGGGAGGAGGGGGAGAAGGGTGGGAGGAGGGGGAGGGAAATGGGAGGACGGGAGGAGGTGGAAACTTGTTTTTTGTTTATGTTTTTTTTTCTCCTTTTCTCAATAAAAAAAATTTAAAAAAAAGATAGAAATAAGCTTAACATAAAATGAAGCAGAAATGAACTGCTGGAATAAAAACTTAAAAATATCACTCTGGAGGAAACAGAAAAGTGCCATAATTTTGAACATTCCCAAAATAGGAATATAGTCTACTGAAAAAATACAGATGAAGTTTGGAGCAGAGATTAACATTCTAAACAGAGGAAGGTATGCTCACAGCTGAGAACTTGCTACATTTTACAAGGCATTAGAGTAGTATGAGAACAGAAAAGGGTTCTATTTTGTCTCTAAGCAGCAGAGAACATGATTTGAAATACCAAGGCATACCATGTTTAGTCCTACAATCTGATTGCTTACTTGCTTTTTTACTTTTATTTTTGAGACAGGGTCTCATGTAACACAGGTTGGCCCATATATAGTAGCACAGAGTAACCTTGAACTCCTTGATCTCTTGCTTCTACCCTCTAAGTGCTAGGATTATAAGCATATACCACCAAGACCAGCCTACAATTTACTATTTAAACCTTGTCTTAAAGTCTGCAGATTCATGGTAGTTGAAAGATTATTACAATGTTAATAGAAATGGCAATCCCAGCATTTGGAAGAGGAGGCAGGAGGCTTGCCACAGGTTTGAGGGTCTACCTGGGCTATATTGTGATTACCAGGTCAAAGCTACATACATAGCACAATCCTGTCTAAAAACAAACTAAAACAATTACAAAAAAAACCAGATGAAGTACACATATCCAATTTTGCCCACCCTAAAACTCTCAATAAACCCAACTCATAGTAAATGAATTTTAAAGTAACATATCAATAAAAACAAGGATAGACATGGTAACACACACCTAAAATTCTGGCTCTGGGAGGCAAAGGAAGGAAGATCTGGGCTTCAAGCTACACAATGAATTCTAGGCCAGCTTGGGTTACATGAGACTCAGTCTCCACAAAAAAAAGGGCAAATGTGTGGATCCAAAAAATAAGAATACTTTAGAACCAACCCAAGAGGCCCAACATCTAAATAAGTTCTAGAAATAAGAAATAGCAAATCACCTGGTCCTCCTAAGGGCTAAAGATTTATTTTGTAGATGTATATGTGCACATGAAGGTCAGAGGTCAACAGAAGAATTCTTCCTCTATTGCTCTTTCCCTCATTTTGTGCAACAGGTTCTCTAAATGGACTCCAGCGATCCCACTGTCTTCATCCGTCCAGAGTTAGAGTTACAGAGCTATACCACACCACCTTACACAGTTTGTGCAACAAGTACTTTATCAACTGAACTATTTCCTCAGCCTCCAATTTTATTTTAACAAAGACAGCATTGTACAGTTCTTTATAGTGAACATCAAACATGTCCTGTTAGTAAAATTACTTCACAATGACATGACGATATAAATAAGGAAAACAGGAGTCTAGGAGATGCCTTGGTCAATAAAGTATTTGACATGCAAGCATGGACACCAGAGTTTGGAATCCCAGCACCTGTGCAAAGCAGAAAAGCACACACCTGAGCAGGGTGGTGGTGGCACACACCTTTTGTGGGATATATGTACACTGTGTGAAGGTGTATTGCTATGACTGGTGTAACAAAAAGCTGAACGGCCACAGTTAGTTAGGGGGTATAGGTGGGACAACTACAGAGAGAGGACTCTGGGAAGAAGAAAAGTAGGGTCACCAGCCAGACACAGAGACGAGACTGAAGGTGCAAGATGGAAGAGAGGTAAAATGCCACGTGGCAGAACATAGATTTAAAGATATGGGTTAATATAAGCTATGAGCTAGTTGAGACAAGTCTAAGCTAAAGGCCAAACCTTCATAATTAATCATAAATCTCTAGGTCATTATTTGCAGACTGGAAGTCCCAACAAAAAAGTATTGCTGCACACACCTTTAATCCCAGATGTAGAGGCAGGCAGATCTCTGTGATTTGAAGGCCAGCCTGGTCTACAGAGTGACTTCTAGAATGGCCAGGGCAAAATGGTGAAAACATATCTTGAATAACCAAAAAATAACAACAAAAGGACACACCTATAATCCCTGCACTGGGAAGGTAAAAATGAATGTCTCTGCAGGCAGACCTATACAAACATATTGCAAGAGAAAAAGTACACAGAAGAAAGAAAATAAAACAAGGAGAAGTAGAAAACAAGCATTAATCAATCAGGATACTGTTATGTGTAGGGAAAGCATCACTAAGATTGACTTACCAGTTCATATGCTACTTCTTCGGGTGTATCTGTTTCTAAATTGAAACTGAATTCAATAGCTTCATTGTCTTTATGTTTGCCTTTTAATTTTTTAGGATCTTCAACCCAGAGTCTTAGGGCCAGGGATGAATTTGAACAATCATCTTCCTCTGCTAACTCCACCCTCAGTCCAGTATCCTCAGCAAAGAATGCATGATTTAGTAGGTCCTTGATAGATAACCTAATAAACAAAATATACATATGATTATCAATTCTTTCAGTCATAAGCAAAATATGGTCCTTTAAATAGTAAAGTTAATTGCATCCAGTGAGACTCTTACTTTATTTACATTTTCTATTAAACCATTTATTATTTGTTTTGCTATAAAAACTACATCTTATAACCAATTTATTACTAGGGACACCAGAAATGTCAACTTGCATGCACATAGAATAATCTTATTTAAGAATTAATAACCAATAATATCTTAATTGATATCAAAGTCTAACTCACATAAAAGTATGCCCAAGAGAGAATTGTTACATAGATTTATTAGCTTGCCTAAAGCCACTGGACTGAGCCACTCAGACTAAAGCAACAGATTTTCAACAAAGGAAAGAACATTCCCCAAATATATTAACTATAAGGTGAATTGGACATTCAAATTCTTACAAATAAGACTACTTCAATAATAATTATCTACTCAGAAGTTGTATGTAATGGCCCACCTCCTATACCACAGCGTTTGCCAGCCTGTGTTATATAGTGAGTTCCAGGGCAGCTTGGGATACAGAATGAGACTCTGTTTCAAAAAACTTTTTTTTAAAAACAAAGGACAATTTTTTAATTAATATGTACTTCATTTTTTAGAAGAACGTCATAGGTGAAGCCAATGTGGTTCAATTTGTTTTTAATTTGAGACAGTGTCTTGCTGAGTGGCTTTGTCTGACTTGGAACTTGCTATTTATATCAGGCTGGCCTTGAACACGCACAGAAATCAGCCTGCCTCGGCATCTCAAGTGCTAGGATTAAACGGGTGTGCCATGTCATTTTTTCCCCTTTACATACATACATACATACATACATACATACATACACCATATGTATACACACATACATATATAATCCCAGCACTCAGGAGGCAGAGGCAGGCGGATCTCTGTGAGTTCGAGGCCAGCCTGGTATACAAGAGCTAGTTCCAGGACAGACTCCAAAGCTACAGAGAAACCCGGTCTCGATAAACAAAAAACAAAACAAAACAAAAAAAATCATTACAAAAAAAAGGGGAGGAAAGATTTTAAGAGCCAGAAGAACAGAAAATGTGTCTCCTAGAAATGAGAGAAAAGCTACACCCATGAAGTCTCTCAGTAACATGGCTGGTTAAATATAACCTGAAAAAGGATAGCACCATTTGACATATTAACGTGGAAGGGGAAAAGTTCATAAGGCTTCAACTCTAGACAAAGAACTATAAGCAACTAAGAAATGCTGAGTAAAAGAAATAGTCAGACCCAGGGCCCATCACCCCAATTCAATGGTCGGTCCTAAAAACATGAACATACAAGTAACAACATTATACAGACTAAGCAGGTTGTAGTGACGTATTCAGAACTCTTGTGAGGCCAGCTTGGTCTACAAAGTGAGTTCCAGGATAGGCTCCAAAGCTACACAGGGAAACCCTGTCTCAAAAAACCGGAAAAAGAAAAGAAGAGAAGAGAAAAAGAGAAATGGTTTAGCAGTAATGGACATTTGCTGCTCTTCTAGAGGACCCAGGTTTCCAGTACCCACATTGAGTAGCTCACAATTGCTTTTTTTTTTTTTTTGGTTTTTCGAGACAGGGTTTCTCTGTGGTTTTGGAGCCTGTCCTGGAACTAGCTCTTGTAGACCAGACGGGTCTCGAACTCACAGAGATCTGCCTGCCTCTGCCACCCGAGTGGTGGGATTAAAGGTGTGCGCCACCACCGCCCAGCTAGTAGCTCACAATTGCATATGACTCCAGACGCAGGGAATCTGACACCTTTCTGGCCTTTGTATACACTTGCATGCACACGGTGCATATGTATGTACACCCAGACACAAAACACATAAAATAATTTTTTTAAAATTTTCAAAAGAAGCTAGCAATTTAAGCCAGTAATTATACAAAGCTCAAAATAAAAGGAAGTGAAAACCAATACTAAAGCAATTCTCTATACGAAAATACAAATTTTGATATAAATAAATATAGAATACTTCTTGAACAAAAACATCCATTACTCTTACTATTATTATTGGCACAATGCTATAAAACCAAATGTAATCTATCTGCTTACTCTCAACTACTTAAGCAATTTGTTACGTGTTTTACATCATCTCACTATTAAGGTATCATAACAAATACAAATGTCAGTTCAAATTCAGCACATAATAGCAACATCTAACGTGTCAAATGGCATGCTATGATATACATACATTACAGTATCCATGATAAAAATGCATCCATCATTTATGTAATTTTGTTATAATTCCACCCACCTTTCAGATTTGTTTTGTCGAATACATCCTTCAATTATTTCTTTTACTTCAGGGTCTGTGACTTTATTGAAGCTGGCTGGTTTTATGCCCTGGGAGAAGAAAATGGTTTCTTGTTACAAATTAAACAATTAAAAGCACAAATCAATATGGCAAATATTAAACTTTATTTTCTCATAAAAATCCAATTATTCAATGAGATTATTACACACATATATTTAATTTCAAAAGTTTTACACAGAATTTCACTACATAGCACTGACTATTTTAGAACTCTCTGTCAGTTTCTCAACCTGTGTGTCATGACCCCTGGAGGCTTTGAATACCCTTTCCCAGGGGTTGCATATTAGATATTTACACTACAATTCATAACAGTAGCAAAATTACAGTTATGAAGTAGCAACAAAATGATTGAGAGTCACCACAACATGAGGAACTGTATTAACGGCTTGAAGCATTAAAAAGGTTGAGAACCACTGTTCTATGTAGACCAGGCTGGCTACAAACTCAGAAATTTGCCTGCCTCTGCCTCCCAAGTGCTGAGAATATAGGCTTGTGCCACCATACCCAGACAAATTTAACTTTTTAAAATTACATTTTATTCACTGGTGAGGGAGGCAGGATCTAGTATGCGTGTGAAAGTCAGAGAATAACTTGCAGGAGTAGACAATCGCCTTCCACCATGTATTTTCCAGGAATTGAACTCAGGTTGTCAGGCTTAATAGAAAGTGCCTTTTACCAGCTGCATCATCTCACCAGCCCAGTTTAACTTTTTAAAAAGGCTTTTATCACAGCTCCATAAAAAACTGAAAATTGTGAATAATCTACACTAATAACTGAGGTAAACTTAATATTACATATGCAAACATATAGAGACTATAAATACTACTATACTTAATAGTATTGGGAATGCTCACAATTTAATATGAAATAATAGGGGGAAAAGCGGAATGCCCCCCAATATACATACATACATACATACACACACACACACACACACACACACACACACACACACACACATATATATATATATAATAATCCTAATTAGGAAAACATAATAGGGACTAGAGAGATGGCTCAGTGGTTAAGAGCAATTCCTGCTCTTTTAGAGGACCCAAGTTCCAATCCCAGAACCCATACTGAAGGGATAACTCCAGCTCCAGGGAATCTGATATCAACTTCTGGCCTCCAAGAAGGGTATTCATAAACATATATGCAAGTACACATTCACAAACACATACATAATTTAAAAAAATAAAATTTAATAATGGACTTGCAAGATGCCTCAGCAGGTTAGAAGTGCTTTCCACCACACCTGATGATCTGAATTCAACCTCTGGAAACCACAGAAAGGTAGAAGGAAGAGAATATGTTGCTCCCCACAGTCACCATGTGGCACATATGCACGCACACACACGCACCAAATAAAATGTAAGTGGGAGGGAAGCAGTGAAAAGGCTTGATCTGAGTTCCAGCCTCCATCCCACAGCATGTCAGGAGAGAACTGACTCCCAAGAGTTGTCTTTTAGCCTCCATACTTAAGAATATGACTGTGAGAACTTGTACGTGCATGCATGCACGCGCGCACGCACGCGCACACACACACACAAATAAATGAAATACATTTTAGAAATTCAAATGGAAAAAAGATTTTAAAAAAGCAAATATAGTAACTATTTTTGATTCAGAGAAAAAGTAGCGGTTTGTCTGCTTGTTTCCTTTGAGGCAGGATTTCTTCTATATGCCAAGTTTCAAGATCCTGTTCCAAATTGCCAAATACCTGGGACCACAGACATGTACTACCAGGCCAGGCAAAATAAATATTTTTTTTGTTTTTTTATTATTATTTATTTATTTATTATGTATACAATATTCTGTCTGTATGCCTGAAGGCCAGAAGAGGGCGCCAGACCTCTTTACAGATGGTTGTAAGCCACCATGTGGTTGCTGGGAATTGAACTCAGGACCGTTGGAAGAGCAGGCAATGCTCTTAACCACTGAGCCATCTCTCCAGCCCTAAATATGGTTTTATAAACCTTTGAAGCACAGCATAATGGCCTATGTCTGCAATTACAGTACTAGAGAGGTGAGGGCAGAAGTTCAAGGTCACCTTTAGCTACTTACTGAGACTCAATCACAGACAACACAACTTAAAAATAAAGGCTTCTCTATTTCTAGTATTCTGAATTTAATATAGTTCAAAGTCTTCTAAAATGGATAGAAGCCATAAACAAACAGTATGTTTGTGTGTACACAGATACAAATGTATAAGATAAGGTCTGGAAATATAAATGAGAAAAGTCAAAATAACTATTCTAAAGAGAAAAAGCAAGAAGGAACTTCAGAAATTCAAAAAGGTGATAATAAAATACTTGAAAGGTAGAGAGGGAAAGTTGGGAAACACACAGAAAAGAAGCCAAATTCATCACAATTCCAGGAGTGCTGCTCTTTGGAAGGGAGAAGAAGCTGAGAACGCCTCCAAAAGGTAAGTCGGGAGGCCCTGGAGAAAAGACACTGGCAGTCCTACTCTTAGAATAAGTGCATAGGGGCTGGAGAGATGGCTCAGCGGTTAAGAGCATTGCCTGCTCTTCCAAAGGTCCTGAGTTCAATTCCCAGCAACCACATGGTGGCTCACAACCATCTGTAATGAGGTCTGGTGCCTTCTTCTGGCCTTAAGGCATACACGCAGAAAGAATATTATATACATAATAAATAAATAAATATTTAAAAAAAAAAAAAAAAAAAAAAAAAAAAAGAATAAGTGCATAGTACTGCCAAGTCTCAAAACCAGTTGAAGGAAGACAGTGGATGGGAAAATAGTAAAGACTCCCATTCCTGTCACTGTCTTGGAGAGCAAGGGTTGGCATTATCTTGCAGTGGAAAATAGTTACTAGAAACTGGACTGAAGAACTGAGGACTCCAAAATGAAGAAAACCTGAAGACAAAAAGCCTCAATTTAACTTACCACAGCCACAGGGCAAGAGACAGTCCTGGAAAACTGGAAGGTCATGATCAACAAGCCAAAGAACCAATAAGCCACTTCTGTAGATGGCAGAAGGCTTGGCTAAGAGAAATGCAAAAGGGGAAAATAACCCTGCTCTCAGTTGATGTGTCAGACCTCATCAACTGAGAGTAACACTAGAGTCTGATAGCCCTTAGGTCAGAAGGCGATCAACTTCTGCATCCATCTATCTGATATTCTCTTCTATAGAGCTAAACATGTCGGAGTCTCCAGTGGAGTACTTGAAATACATTACCTCATCCATCCAAAAGGATGGTTACTATTTAAAAAAATTTGGAAAGTATGAAGACCTGTCTTCCAGCTCTCCAGATCTTGACAGCTAGACATTAGAAACAGAATAAATAAAATATATGAACTGCAAAAGGTAAATACTATCCAAAAAACCCTTTAAATCAATAGATTGACTAATGATCTGCATAGAGAATTCCCAAAAATGAAAAGACAGTGGCTGAAGAGATGGCTCTGTTGTTAAGAGCACTTGCTGCTCTATAGAGGGCATGGGTTCAATTCCCATCATCCACATGTGGCTTACAGTCATCTGTAACACCAGTTCCAGGGGAACTGATGCTCTCATCTCACCTCTGCAGATACCTGGTATGTATATAGTACACATACAGTACAGACAGGCAAAACATTCAGACATATAAAATAAGTCTCAAAAAATTAAACTGGCCAATGAATATTTGAAATAAAAATGTTCAGCATTTTCAATGCTCAGGGAAATACAAATTAAAACTGCTTCAAGATTCCATCTTACCTTAGCCAGAATGGCTATCAAGAAAACATGAAAGGGGTTTGAGAGATGAGTCAGAAGTTAAGAGTTTATACTACACACACACACACACACACACACACACACACACACACACACGACAGGGTTTCTCTGTGTAGTCCTGGCTGTCCTAGAATTCATTCTGTAGACCAGGCTGTCCTTATTTAGAGATTCACCTGCCTCTGCCTCCCCAGTACTGGGATTAAAGGTGTGTGCCACCACCACCTGGCTTAGAGTGTATATTCTTGCAGGAGTCAAGTTCAGTTCCCAGCACTGACATTAGGTATGGCTCATAATTACCTATAACTCTAGATCCATAGGACACAATTCCTTCTTCTGACCTTCACAAGAACCTGCACTTATGTGCCTATAACCACACACAGACATACATGAATAATAAAAAAATAATAAAAGTAAGGAGTTGGAGAAATAGATCAGCAGATAAGAGCATTTGCTGCTATTTCAGAAGACTCAAGTTTGGTTCCCAGCACCAAAACTCTACACCAACATATCACAGATGGAACTGTACATCTGTGTTTACTGCCACACTATTCACAATAACCACAGTACCCAAATGTCAGTCTATATGTCTACCAACAGATGAATGGAAAAAAGAAAATGTGGTACATATACATAATGGAATTTCATGCAGTCCTAAAATAAAATGATCATGACATTTTCAAGAGAACAGCTATAATTGGAAACCACCATGTTAAAATAAAACAGACGTGGTAAGACAAATACTACATGCTCATATGTGGAACCTAGACTTACAATTACATATGTGTACATATGTATTTGCATGTTTGTGTTTATAGGTAACAAAATTAGAAAGAGGATAAGAGAAGAGTAAGATGTCTTAAGAGAAATGAAGAAAGTAACAAACATGTGCAATAGGAAGCTGTGGTGCATGCCTCTAATCTCAGCACTCAGGAGACAGAGGCAGGGAGATTTCTGTGAGTTCAAGGCCAGCTTGAACTCCAGGATAGCCAGGGCTACATGGTAAGATGAGACCCTGTCTCAAAATAAACACATATAATAAGAAAACAGAAAAGGAGGAACAAAGGAAACAGACTTAAGGGGGCAGACAGACATGTGAGAGGGCAGAGATAAGGGGGAAAATGAGAATAAATTTACTGGTACATATGTATAAAGAAAAAGCTACAGTGACACCCATCATATTATAACCTAAAAATATGAAACAATACCAACAAGAGAAAATTGGGGTTACAACATTTCATCAGGAACAGAGAAAGGGTTCTGTGAGAAATGATAGGCAGTTAATGGCTGCTGTATAATGCATATGCAGGAATCATATTCCTCAGTGGTGTAGTCACTGGAAAGTTGCTCTTGCTCAAGTGATGAACACCCCACTCATGCTCAGGCAAGGAACCCAAATTAAGTGCAGTAAGTACAGAATAAAAAGACAGGAAAGTGGGAGGGGATGCAGGAAGGGGTTTAGTCTGAGGTATAAGGACATAAGAGAGAATAATGGGATGAATAAGATCAAAGTACATTAATATATGTATAAAACTGTCAAAGAATATGTGTATGAAATTGTAAATGAACAAATAAAACTTATATAAAAGAATACAAATGGCTAATAAATACATGAGCTAGAAAGTAAAAGGGGGAAAATGTGGGGAGGCAGAAAGTTACAGTGGGGGGAAAGTTGGAAATGGGGGAAGACTGGGAGAGAAATCAACCAAAATGAAGCATGCATGAAAATGCCATTAACAAACTTATCCCTTTGTAAGCTAATTTAAAAATATAACAAATAAAAACAAAGAATAAACAATATTTTCTAAACATTAACCATAGATTAAAGCATCTCTCGACCCTAATCAGAGAAGCCTGTTTGCGGTAGATAATAAACAAAATGACCTACAACTGGCTCAGGTGCAAAGAATAAGATTATGAAATATTTAGCCCTAAATGGGGCCTCTATATCACAATTCCTTCTCCTGGGGCTCAAGGATCACTGAGAAAGAGGAGATTGAAAGAGGCAGAGGCAGTGGATAACTACAAGGAAACAGTGTCTTCTAGACACAGCAGGGCAGCTGCACATATAAATTCACAGTAGTTGTAACAGTATGCACAAGCCTAAGCCAGACCAGATCTCAGCATGGAGAGGGGAGTTGAGCAGAAAGTTTCACCCCTAAATGAAGGGCTACTGGGAATTCTTAGCAGCTCATAGAGAATGGATCAGTTTTCTCTAAAAGTAAAGCCTCGGATAAGTTGGCCATGTTCCAGTAGAAGCATTCAAGAATATCTGAACAGCTGGGCAGTGGTGGCGCATGCCTTTAATCCCAGTACTTGGGAAGCAGAGGCAGGTGGATCTCTGTGAGTTTGAGGCCAGCCTGGTCTACATGAGCTAGTTCAGGACAGGCTCCAAAGCTAAAAAGAAACCCTGTCTCAAAAAACCAAAAAAAAAAAAAAAAAAAAGAATAAAAAAAATCTGAAAAGCACAAATAGGCCTTGTCAGGGAGAGAGACACATGAATGAATGGACACTAAGTTAAATGGGAAAGTAAAGTAAAAAAGACTGGATCTGAGAAGACCTGGAGTAGAGAGGGTGAATACAATCAAAATAACTGCATGATATTCTCAAAGAACTTTTAAAATTAAGCAAAAAAAAAGAAAAAGAAATGAAAACTAAGGCTGGCAAGTATGTGGAAAAGTAGAAACCTTATCAGTTGCTGGTAGGAATGTAATGTATTGCAACCATTATGGAAATCAGTATGGAGGCTCCTCAAAAAATTGAAAATAAAACTGTCATATAACAGAGCTATAACACTCCAGAGTATATATCCAAAGGACTCTTTAGTCAACATACCACAGAGACACTCATACAACTGTGTTTATTAATATACAATCCACAACAGTTAAGAAATTAACCAGTCTAGATGTCTATTCACAAATAAATATATAGTAAAAGTGTGGTACATATATACAACAGAATTTTATTCAACTATAAAGAATAATGAAATCACAGCACTCGCAGGAAAATAGATGAAACTGGAAATCATGTTAAATAAAATAAGCCAGAATACATGTTCTCTACCATATGTGGAATAATGTCTGTGTGTGTGTGTGCATGTGTATGTGTTGTGTGTGCCTGTGTGTGAGAATGGGGAGAAACAGTCATGAAAAGGGAGGGAGAGACTGGGGGATAATGAAATACATATGATACAAAAGCAGAGTGAGGATTATTAGTGGGAATAGAATGCAAGATGCAGACAGGGAAAATATGAGAGATTAGTGAGAGGATGAATAAGAACAAATTAAAATAATACATATAAAAATGTGAAAAAGTAACTATTACTTTATATGTACACTTTTAAAATAAAAATACAAATATGAGGTCCAGACAATTTATAATTTTCCTGTAAGCATGTCATCTACCTTAATCTGCTCATTTTATACCTTTTGTTTATAAGTTTTAGGCTTTCAGAAAACTATCCAAGCCAGGTGGTGGTGGCGCATGCCTTTAATCCCAGCACTTGGGAGGCAGAGACAGGCGGATCTCTGTGAGTTCGAGACCAGCCTGGTCTACAAGAGCTAGTTCCAGGACAGGAACAAAACAAAAAAAGAAAACTATCCAATTATCATTGTAGTCATTAAATAGAAAATTGCAAATTAATCTGGAAAAATAATTGCCATAAATTGAGACAACCTAAGATCTACTTCTAAACCTATCATACTACCTTAAAAAATAAAGACTCATATACTAGATAAATCTAGCAAGATTGGGAATTAATTTGGATCCAAAATTCAAGAAGCTATGAGAGAGGTACAAATGTAAATTGTGATATGGTATTTTTGTATGTTAATATAAAAATAATAGTTATTCAAAATTGCAGTTATGCTAAGGGTATGGATCAGTGGTAGAGCACTTGTGTAGTTTTCATTAGGCCCTAAATTTCATCCCCAGAATCACAAAAAAGACTGTATTATGCACAGAACTTGGGAGGCTAAGGTAGAAATTCATGAGTTCAAGGTCAGCCTCAGTGACACAGTGAAACCCTGATAATGTTATTCTATACATAGAAAACGTCCTGTATAATCTCTCCTCTAACCTCTTCCTGATTTTCTTGGCAATTCATGCCTTTCTCTATATGTAAGTGAAGACAGTTATAGAATTATAATTTATAAATCAAGCACAAAATACTTTTGTACTTGGGGTTCTTTAGATAAAGGACATACACTAATAAGGCATTGCAGTTCTTTTTCTGAGCTCTTATCAGAGGCTGGGAAGAAATTAGGAATTGTTGCTTAATGGGTAAAAGTTGCAATTAAACAGCAGGAAAAAGCTTTGAAATACAGTCCACAGCACAATGACTATAGTCAATAAAACACAGCATATTATAAAGTAACTTAAAAAGTAAGTTTTAAATGTTTCACCACAAAAAATAATAAGGAAATGAAGTTAGAGGTAAACTACCTTGATTTTACATTGTATATATCATATTGTATCCCATAAATGTATACAATGTCATCTGTCTATTTAAAATAACTTAATTTTAAAAGATTAAAAGATGACTCTTATTATTAACTTCCTGAAACATTAACAATCTCTTTCATGATCTATCTCAAGTCACCCAGCTATATGCGAAGTAGTCTACCCTAAACAATGAAAACACTCCAATTCTACTTTGCATCCCTTACTATACTCCTATCCTTTTATTTTATACTGATTTTTTTCTTATTTTCCAAATAGGGTTTCATTTTGTAGCCCACGTTGGCCTCAAACTTAGACTCCCAAGTGCTGGGATTACAGGTATGCACCACCATGTCTTGCTAGCTATTTCTTTATTGATATTATTCTCCTCCTAGAAATGTAAGCTTTCCTAGGGCAGCAAACACTTATTGTCATTGCAGTTCTTGCAATTTCTAACATAAAACATTACTTATATAAGAGATTCACTTGTCAAACTACATGCTGAATTCTATTTCCTAACTGGGCACTTAAAGTATTAAAGTCCTTCAAACTCTTTTAGTTTTATTATCCAGCTTTAAAAATTAAGACCAATCAAACCGGGTGTAGGGGAGCATGCCTTTAATCCCAGCTCGTCATAGGCAGAGGCAGAGCATCTCTTTGACATTGCAGCCAGCCTGATCTATGTAGTAAGTTCCAGGACAGTAAGAGGCACATAGTGAGATGCTGTCTCAGGAAAAAAAACCCAAAAAACAAAAAAACAACCAAGACCAAAACTAATATCTAAAATTGTACCATACCTGTACATTTTCTCCAAAACAATACAGAACATTTTATATGACCCTAATAGAGTTCAAGTACATAAATAGAAACCTTTATAAACCTTTTCTAAGTGAATGGTTAAACTAACATTGTTATATAAAAATAAACCATAATGGAGAAGGGACTTTTTCTTTTTTCTTCCACTAAGTCACACCCTTTGTCCTGTCCTATAATTAAATTCTACTAAGTCAATTTTATCAATTTTAACACAAAATGTGGCAATCTGTGAAGTAAAATGAATAAAAGTATACCTACACTGGTTACTTTACGGTATATTTGAGCTGCATTCTGGCACTCGGAATATGGATACTCCGAAGTAGCCATTTCCAACATACACATCCCAAAAGCATAAACATCTACAGATTCATCATAGTGTTCTTCATACATCTCTGGAGCCATAAACTCAGGAGTGCCTACAAAATAACACCATAACCATATTTTTATTAAAGAGATATATTAATCAAGATATTCTTTCCCATAAAAAGTATCTATTACTTTCTGCTCTTTCAAAGTAAATCTATCAGTTAGGCTGGGTGTGGTGGTGCACACCTTTAGTCCTGGCATTTGGGAAACAGAGGTAGATGGATTTCTTTGAGTTTGAGGCCAAGCCTGGTCTACAGAATGTTCCAGGACAGCCAAGGCTATATAGAGAGACTCTATCTCAAAAAAAAATAACAAATTTAACATTTTTACTGATGAAGTACAATTTAAAGTACAATTCAAGGTTAAGATGTTAAAAAAATCTAACTTTAGACAGGCATGGTGGCTCACACTTGTAATCCTAGTACTTGTATAGTAACAAGCAAGAAGGTTAAAGAATTTTAAGGTTATTCTCAGCTACATAGTATTTTCAAGGCCATCTTGGTCTACAATAAAATCCGGTCCTAAGAAAAGAAAAGGCTAGGCACTATGATGCAAGCCTTTGATGCCTGCACTCAGTAGTCAGTGGCAGGAGGATCTCTGAATTTGCGGCCAGACTACTATGCATAGCAAGTTCCAGGTCAGCCAGAATTACTATATAATAAAGAGATCCTGTCTCCAAATAAAAAGATAACTAGATATAGATTAAATCTGATTTTATTTTGCATTTCTGTCTTTTTAATTCAAATTTGCATAAATTAATTTAGTAAATTTTTTTCTTTAAGTCTTCAAAATCTTTCAATAATCCTTAATAGATGAGGCTGGAGAGATAGTTCAGCTGTTAAGAGCACTTGTTGGGGTTCAGTTCCTAGAATCCACATGGTGGCTAAGGCTAACAACTGTCTGAAACTCCAACTCTGAGGGCTCCAGCACCATCTTCAGACCTCTGTGGGCACTGTATATGCAGACATACATGTAGGTAAAACACCCATACATGTAAAATAAAGATAAATTAAAAAATTAGTTCTTAATATATTCTATAAAATATACACACTAGGTATTAGAAATAAGTCAGTTTTCATATAACTGGTATTTCAAATCATATTCACAAATATTTCAAAGCAAATTAACGGTTGAATGTGCTGTCTGGGTCCTAAAATCCGAAGACTGGAGTGTTCAAGGTCATATATTACATAGCAAATTTGAGGCCTGCCCAGGTTACAGAAGATCCTGTCTTAATTTTAAAAAAATAGTGTGTGTGTAACAAAAACCTTAAAAAACAGGCAGTGCTCAAAATTTTGCCCAAAACTGTAGCTAACTCATCAGCTTTATTCCAGTCCTATACAACTGACAAATCTAACACCCAGCAGGAAACTGTAAAATATTAGTCACCAATGACACTCTTAGCAAATGATGTGCGCATTAAGGTTGCAAGTCCCAGATCACCAATCTTCACAGATCCAGTGGGTCCTGTGATAAAAATGTTGTCACACTTCAGATCCCGGTGAATAATAGGAGGGGTCCTTGTGTGCAAGAACTGCAATCCTTTTAAAATTTGTCTGCACCAACTTCTTAAGACCTTTGGCTTCATGACTTTAAATCGTTTTAAGTACCTATTCAAAGAAACAAAGATCATGTGTAAACAAACATTCCCAGATTAGTCTATAAGTACCACTATAAGTATGCTGCTCTGCTTATTTACTTACTATGAATACTACCACTGAATAATTTTTAAGGTTGATTTTTTTTGTTTTTACTTATGTATTTGTTAATGTGCACACAAGCGTACATGCCTGTGGGGGTCAGAATAAAGCAATGGCCCACCTAGGGCCTAAAGTTAGACAATTTTGAGTTGTCCAATGTGGAGACCAGGACCTGATCTCTGACCTCTGGAAGAGAAGCAGGTACTCTTAACCAATAAGCCATCTCTCCAGCCCCCTGAATTATCTTCTATTGTTTGCTGTAGCAAAAAAAAAAAACCAAAAAACAACAACAAAAAAAAACCCACAACCCTACTTAAACCCTCGTTCTCATCTTTCAGTGACCTGACCTACAGTTACTTTACGGGACACTTAAGTTTACCATCCCACCTCACCTCACATTACATTAAAAAAAAATGGTATGACTTATGCCAAAAGATACTCTACAAAGTCTAGTACTTTTAATTCAAAATAAGAACCATACTAGAATGAGGTTGTGGGATGAAAACACCACTGTAAAAAGAAAGCCCTTCTCTATGTGTAAATAATTACTTATATATTCACTGGAGGGCATGGCTACATAAAATTTTACTGTAAAATGTTAGGAAAAATGGCTGGGTGGTGGTGGCAGACGCCTTTAATCCCAGCACTTGGATCTCTGTGAGTTCGAGACCAGCCTGGTCTACAGGAGCTAGTTCCAGGACAGGCTCCAAAGCCACAGAGGAACCCTGTCTCAAAAAAGCAAAAAAAAAATCAAATTGTAACTTTAAATAATAAAGTTGAAAATATACAACTGATTATACAATCAATTCATACCAAATAAAAAGTTGGTTACAAACAAAAAAACAGTAGTTATTCCTTGCAAGATGTATAAATTGGGCCAAACCCTTAGCAAGTCATTATCTTTTAAAATGCAATCATAATTTATAATAATTTTTAACTCAAATTTTATGATATATCTAAAACATTAACTTTTGTGGGGTTTTTAAGATTTATTTATTTTACGTGTATGAGGGCTTGCCTGCATGCCTGTATGTTTTCTAAGTGCGTACTAGGCACTCACTGATGTCAGAAGAGGTCACTAGATTCCCTGGTTATAAGCCATCACAATGATGCTAGGAGGCTCTGCAAGAGTAACAAGAGCTCTTAACTTATGAGACATCTCTCTACCCCACTTTTTGGGTTTTTAAGGCATGGTCTCATGTAGCTCAAGCTGATCATGAATTCATCATGTAGCCAGGAATAACCATCAACTCCTGATCCTCCTATCTCTATCACACTACACAGTGCTAAGATTAAAGGTGGTGCCACTGTTCCTAGTTGTATGTGTGCAGGGGATTGAATCCATGGTTTAATGCATACTAGGCAAGCACTTAATCAATTGAACTTCATCTCCAGGTCCCCAAACATTAACTTTTCAGCACTGCATAGTCTAACAAACTTCATTAATATCTTGATTTTTCAATCAATCTGAAATAGATTCTACAAGTTCTTTTTTATTGTTATAGTTACTAGGGATGGAACCAAGCCCTTGTATATACTAAGTAAATGCTATTTCACTGAGCTATAGCCCCAGCCCCTCTACAAATTCTTAAGTTAGAAAGCTTATAAATAATTTTTATGACTTCTTAAAATAATTTCCATCTCAATAGGTACTATCAGAGTCAACTTACGTCTTTAAGGTTCCTGATGTCATTAGTTCAGTCACTAACACAATACACTTCTTTCCTTTTAATATAGACTCCCAGGAATCATAAAATCGAACTATATTGGGATGCTGGAGGCCTTTCAACATCTCTGCTTCTTCTTTGAACCGTTGCTGCTCAGCTTTAGTTAATTTGCGGTCCTAAAGTGGAAGAACGAGTTCCAAATTAATAACACAGAAATTTCCATGCACATTTTTCTTTTCTATTTTCTTTCTTTCTTTTTTTTTTTTTTTTGGTTTTTCGAGACAGGGTTTCTCTGTAGCCAGCCTAGTCTACAGAGCAAGTTCCAGGACAGCAGGGCTATTAAACAGAGAAACTCTGTCTCAAAAAAACAAACAAAGCAACAACAACAACAAAAAAAAAGTTCAAGCTCTTACTGGAGCCAAAAACCTGTGACTAAACATCTCACAGATTCTAGAAGAGAACATGCAAAATGAACGTAATATGAAACCAGCTTCTAGTGACTGTTATACCCATAGATTAGTATATCTCTCAACCGTCATCAAAGAATTTCTTTTAGCAGTAGATGGTGATTAACACAGATACCTACAACTGACCAACATGCAGACAAGAGATTACAAAGTGTTAAATCCCAAATGGGACATCTATATCACACCCTGCTCCTCTTAAAGATCAGGGATCAAAACCAGGTGCCTTTAATCCCAGCACTCGGGAGGTAGAGACAGGTGGATCTCTGTGAGTTTGAGGCCAGCCTGGACTACAGAGCGAGTTCCAGGACAGGCTCCAAAGCTACAGAGAAACCCTGTCTCAAAATCCAAAAAAAGGAAGAAAAAATCAAAAGAAAGAAAGAAAGAAAGAAAGAAAGCAAGCTAGCTCACTCAGGGGTCATTGCAGAAGATGGCAGAAAGATTGTAAGATGTTGAGGGTGACTACTACAAAAGAGTGTTTCTAGGATAACAGGGAAGCTGCATATATGAACTCACAGCAGCTGTGACAGCATGCACAACTGTATAAACTCAAGTCAGACACAGTCGGTATTCTTAGCTATCATAGTAGGTACATTGAAGACATGAGATTATGGCTTTAATTTTAATTAATAATCAACAACCCAATTAAAATAAAGATTTGAAGAGAGATTCAGGGGATATAACTCAGATATTATAGAAAAAATGAAATGGGGCCCTTGGTGTGATTCCCAGCATTGACAAAAAGAACTGAACATGTTTCACCAAGTAACATATATATAGTTCAACTTGGTTGGTTGGTTTTGTTTGTTTTGGTGTTCTCATTACATGGGGCAGGCTGGACAGAAACCTGCCTGTCTCAGCCTCTGAGTACTAGGATTAAAGGGATTCACTACAGTATCTGGAAACATCCTATGACATCACCCTTAGGCTTATCACTGTTGAAAGGAAGTGTATTGTTTGTTTGCTTGTTTGTAATAAGACAAGGTCTCATGTAGCCAGGATGACACTGAACAACTGAGCAGAGGCAAATGGATCTATGAGTTTGAGGCCAGTCTGGTCTACGTATGAGTTCCAGGCCAACAAGGGCTACTAGTAAGTAGAACTGGTTATCAAAAGTTAGGGAGGGTGAGAAATTGAGAATAATCATTTAATATGTACAAAGTTTATATCTGAGATGATGAAAACTTTCTAGAGATGGATAGTGTAAGTAATTATAAATCAGTTTGACTATACTTGATGTCACTAAATTCAACAATTAAAATTGAATTTTATGCATATTATGCTACAATAAAAAATCTTCAGGGCTGGTGAGACAGCTCGGTGTGTAAAAGAGCTTGTTGTGCAAGCCTGATGACCTTTTGATCTCTAGAACACATGGCAGGACAATCAGTTCCCAAAAGTTGTCCTCTGACCTCCATATGCATGCTATGGTGTATGTTAATTCCTCTCTTCCTCTCCCTCATACACACACAAATAATGATAAAAAAAATTGAAATAATTTTTAAAAAGTGTTCAAAAAACCCTTTGTATGGTGGTGCAAACCTATTATGGAAGCGGGGATGATGGAGGAAGGTCATTGGTTAATTAAAAAAAGAAACTGCTTGCCTTGATAGGTTAGAACATAGGTGGGTGGAGTAAACAGAACAGAATGCTGGGAGGAAGAGGAAGTGAGCTCAGAGACGCCATGTTCCCCTCTCCCGGGCAGACGCCATAGCTCTGCTCTCTGAGGCAGATGCATGAAGCTCAGACCCAGGAGGACGTAGGCTAGAATCTTTCCCGGTAAGACTGGTGCTACACAGTTTATTAGAGATGGGTTGATCGGGATATCAGAATTTGCCAGTTAGGGCTAGAGCTAATGGGCCAAGCAGTGTTTAACAGAATACAGTGTCCGTGTAATTATTTCGGGGCATAAGCTAGCCAGGCGGCCAAGGTGCTGGGGACGCAGCCCCGCCGCTCCTATTACTACACAGGGAGGCTGGACAGGTTAATCAGGAGTTCAAGGCCAACCTGGGCTACATAAAACCCAATCTCAAAAAAAAAATCAAAAACCATTAAGGGACTTAACAAAAGCAAGGAATGCTAAGGATAGAAAATAACAAAAACAAGTAAAATACTAGGTTTTCCTATCTTTCCTAATATGATTAATATGTCCTAAATGGTTCTGCAATTAGCTAGCATCCATACCTGGAAGATCAGATCACACTAAAGAACAATTAATATATTTTAAGCCTTCTGATTAACATTGTAGAACATAAGTATTTCTTGTGACAAACTCAATTACTCTACTTAATAATTCACCTCTAAATATCAAAGGTAATTACAACTAGGGGTAAACAACTTTATAAAACTTTATAGCTGCTGCCTCAGACATACTGCTAGAGAAAAAGTCCACTAAAAAGGCAGGGTCAGTGCCTTTAAATTTCTACTTCTGATTCAGGGGACAGAAAATGTGGTAAACTAGCACCAAACTCAAAGGGAAGTACTTTAGTAGAGATTTCAGCTACTACTGTAATCCTCCTTTGATCATACAGAGACACACAGACACTAGGTAATGATTTTGATAGAATAAACCACCTGTCATTAATAACGAGAGTTTTTGGTGCAAGAAAGGCAAACTAGAGAGTAGTAATAGCTAACAGAGCACAGAGCCATTAAAATGCTAATCTAAAGGCTCGTTATGGTGCTACATGCCAGTAATCCCAGTGCTGAGAAGGCTTAGGCAAAAGAACACTAAATTCTGAGGTCAGCCGAAGGTAATGGGGAGATTCTATCTTAAAAAATAATCTAGTCTATGGAAATGAGCCATAAATATTGCTGTTCCAAAGTTAGATCATAAAAAAACAATAAGCATAAAGTTTTAGTGTCATACTTGCTAATTTATATGGATAGTAAATAGATGAAAATTCAAATCAAACAAAATTCAACTACTCCACAGTACATTAAAAAGAATATTATCTTTTTTATAAATGTTAGCTAAATATTTAATCAATTTTATTATGTAGAATAGTAAAAATATACATAAAACCTTTTCTGAGATCTAGACTAACAGCAACATGATTAATCACCATAAGTATTTTATTCAACATAAGGAACATATATTTAAGAGGGAGTGACTGAACTAAGACTGCTTCCAGGGCACCCTGCTCTAGCAGAGCTACCTAGGGAAGTGCTTTCCCAGGTGCAGCCTGAAGGCACACAGAGTTTACTGAAGCTGTTGTCCCAGTAGGATCTTGGCATTATCTACATGGTGTATCTACTTGGCTTTGTAGGCATACAAAAATTGAAATGTTGGGGAGGCCTTGGCTCCAAAAGCTGCTGATGCCAGGAAACTCATAGCAGTGTCAGGTGTTCTGCTCATGAAGTTGTGAAGGTGAAGCCTATATTTCAATAGGAACTGGAGATGTGAGAGGCAAACAGAGCCCACTAACAGGCTATGAATGCTACAAGCTACTGAGTTAAGTCAGAGTTCCCAAGCCTGTTAGAACCCAGATGAAGCAACCATGAGCCCTGGATATCAGACAGAGAATTACAGGGTTTGGTGTTTGCCTTACTAGGTTTTGGTCTTGCATTGGTCTGATCTTTGTTATATTTCTTTAAGAATCAGAATTCTCTTTAGAAACTGGAATGTTTGACATGTGACACTGTATGGTAGAACTATATAATTTGTATTTTTTTACTTTGCAGATCATAGTTAAGAGACTGATTTGAGTCTCGAAAGAGACTATATCATTTGGGTTTGTTTGTTTGTTTGTTTTGTTGTTTTTTTTGTTTGTTTTGTTGGGGGCTTTTCAAGACACAGTTTCTCTGTACCTTTGGAGCCTGTCCTAGAACTCTCTTTGTAGACCAGGCTAGGCTCGAACTCAGAGATCCACCTGCCTCTGCCTCCCAAGTGCTAGGATAAAGTTATATGCCACCATTGCCTGGCTACTTTTGGGGCTTTTTTTTTGACAATGTTAGAACTGTCAAGATTTTGGTGACTGTTAGCAAGGGACTAAACATATTTTACATTATTAAATATGACATGTTTGAAGTATTGTGGTTTAAAAGTGATGTGTTTGGGTATCAAATTGACAAGAGAGGAATTACAATAGTCAATTTTGATTTTACGGTTGATCAGATTAAACACACACTGATATCAATAAACACACCTCTGTATATGCCTGTAAAGGGTGATTATAAAGAAAATGAGCTGAGCAAGTTAAGACCTAAACTGGATGTGGATACATTATCCAATTGGCTGGAGTGCAGACCAGATAAAAAGAGAAAAAAGAGAAAGCCACCTGAGGATCACTCATTCCTCTGTTCTCTGCTTCCCAAGCTGCCTTCCAGCATCAATCAGGAACTGGACCCACAGCCATGCCTTCCTCATCCCAGTGAACTATATATGCCATGAGTCACATCCAAAATTAGGAACATTTTTTTCTGAAAGGTAAACTATGATCTTATAATCTCACTATAATCTCACTCTCTTAATGTAAATATCAAAAATGATCTTCAAAACCAGATCAGGCTACATGGATCTATTCCTTCAAATGTGAAAGAAATAACAATGATATTAAAGTTATATAAAATAACTTGTTCAGGTAACAATATATAGTACAGGCTGGGCGATGGTGGCGCACGCCTTTAATCCCAGCACTCGGGAGGCAGAGGCAGGCGGACCTCTGTGAGTTCGAGACCAGCCTGGTCTACAGAGCTAGTTCCAGGACAGG